CTTCAGGCTTACTCTCCCTCACCCCATGATAGGGGATCAGGAACAAGCCTCCTTTTGAAAGGCAGTGCCTCTTTCCTGAGCTGTCACCACCCTGCGGATGTGGTAGTCATTGCTGGGCAGGGCAACAAAGACCCTCGTAGGAAAGCTAAGCCTGAGTTAAAATCTTGTTCTTGGATGACAAACGACTGGTAACGCTGACAAATGTTTGAAACGTTCTTGGCTTGTGGCAGATTATTTTTTTTTCTTCTTCTTTTTTTTAAATTCTTAAATCAATCTTTATTGTTCATATTATTACAAAGGTTCCTCATTTCTTCCCCCCTCCACCAGGTTCTCACCCCACCCTATACCCCCTCCCCACCCCCCATTGTCCTCATCCATAGGTGCACAGTTTAGGTTCAGTCTCTTCCCGCATCCACCGCTCCCCCTTTCTGGGAGAACTGTCAGTCCAGTCCACTTCCCTCCCGTATCACCGACTCTACTACAATCAACAACTAATATTGTTCATCAGGTTTTTCAATCTCCTTTTTTTTTGTTGTTGTTGTGTTTTTTTTTAATTAATAAACTTTTACACTTCTAAGAATAAATTTTAAAATCTAATAATTTTAAACTTTGTTTTTTTCTGCCCTGGGAACTGAGAAGCAAACTTGTTTACATGTAAACTTGCCTTAGGCTATCAAAAGGTGTAGCCATTCAAGTGTAAATGAACACATTCTTTAAAGATAGTTGCTAGTTGGAATTGGATTACCTGTTCTGGGTGGGAATGGCTTGTCCTCCCCTTTCTCCATTAAAATTAAGGTGTTAGCTTTAAAACCTCTTTTTGGCAAGAGACCTTAAACTTTCAGAACTTTAAATTTTTCAGATAGTAAATCAGTTACTTAGCATTTTCTCAAATCAATAATACCTCCACATGCCCAAGGATACACTTCACAGAAAAGACATTTCCAAATAGATCAACCAACCTCATCCAGGCTCCACACAAGGCACTCACAGATCAACACCCCAGCGCTATACTAACTCAACACATCCAGATCTAAACCTTCATCACTTGATTCAGCAGACCCTCAAATTCCCCCAAAGGTTTCCAGCCATGTCTGAGAGGCAGCCCTAGGGCGGAGGCAGGCGAGGAGCCAGCTGTTTAGGGCCTGGCTGCTCCAGGCCTGGCCTCTGTTGCTCTGGTCTGCTCCACAACCAGCTGCTCCGGGTCTGGCCACTGCCGCTTCTGGCCTGGCTGCTGCTGCTCCAGGAGTGGCTGCTCCCGACCCGGCTGTTCTGGGCCCGGCTGCTCCTGGCCTGGCTGCTCCCAACCCGGCTGCTCTGGGCCTGGCTGCTCCCCACCCGGCTGCTCTGGGCCCGGCTGCTTTGGGCCTGGCCGCTCCCGGCCTGGCTGCTGCTGCTCTGGGCCTGGCTGCTCTGGGCCCAGTGTGGCAGATTATTTCAATCATTGATTGTGACTTGCGTACATTTCATGCTCTCACATCTAGAGCAGGAAAACCCAGCTTAGAGGAAGCAGAGCATCAACCTAGAAGCAGTGAGTGGGCCTCTAGCCTGCCCCTCCTAATAAAAGATCAGATCCAAAAGGCCATGCCTTTTCTGTGAGGTTTTAGGTAGTAACATTCACCCTGTTATCTTGGTTGGGCACTGGGAGAATGATGTGAGATAATGTATGCAAACATATTAAGTACATACAAGCATAGGTGTGTTTGTTGTTGTCAGCCTTTGTAGAACGAAAAATATTTTTATGAGTTCGACGTATATAGAAATGTAGCATAATCAAGCATTATCAAAGTGATTTGGTATAATCAGAGCCAGAAAACTACAGAATTGTACTCTTCCAGGAATGGCCTACAAGCAAAATATTCATATTCTGTTCTCAGCAACAAGTTCAACTGTCAGTCTATTAGTTCAGAATCCAAAGGATATGTTCAAACATATTCGTAACCCACTGATGTGTCTGCGTCGTTCGATGTAGCCTCAGGAAATCAGAAAGAAATATTTATGTGTTAAAAGAAAAATTGTCAAGAAAAATTCCACAGGGTGCTCAGAGTTTTCTGATCTTTCAGAGAAAAGGATAAACTGCATCTTCCTCTCATTTCTTCGGATTAGGTGCTGGGATTACAACATGAAACAAGAATGGAAGAAATCAATGAATAAACAGTCTAGTCTACATGCTTAATTAAAACAGATAACCCTGATCACGTGGAATGTTTGCTCTGCTCTGTTGTGGTGGGTGCCAGAAAGCTGGGCGTGGGGCACAGGTTCCGGACTGGAGCACACGGTACCTTTCATCTGCTCACAGGGTGTTCCCTGTCGGGTCTACAGACCTAAATTTCCATCTCCCTCAGAGCCAGGGAAACCTGCCTTAGAGGTTTTATGTGAATTAGGTATGATTGGAGGCATCACCACACTCAGCCATTTCTAGTAACAGGACTTCACTTTTCTTAGTTTAGGTTAGGGAGTAGGGGAACATAGTTTCTGAATTTCATAGTTGGTTTTTGTTTGTTTGTTTGTTTGTTTGTTTTAAGGAGTCAAAGCCTATTCAAATCAACTTGTGAAGCCAGCATCTGGCCAGGCTACTCTCCCAGCTCCACCCATGCTCTTATCCTGGCCGGGCCCCACAAGGCTCAGGCACCAACACACAGCAACTAGGGTTCCAGGAAGATGAGACCAAACTCCTGTTTCTTTGTTTGTTAAGCCAAAGATTCATATTGTGTTGTTAATGTAATGATGTTTTTGTTTATCTTTTTGCTGCTCTAGGGAAAGATGGTTTGTACCAGCTGGCCTATCAGTCACCATCCTATAAATTCCCCCCAAAAGCCCTCTTTGGACAGATAATTTTAAAAGACTCACCCCCCTCACTCACCCCTGTGAGCTCCTCCCCCAGAAAAAAGGCTTGGTGAGCTGGGCTCTTTGTGGACTGCAGCCCCACTGCCTCTTGTGGCTTCCTGCAGTGTGCAACCCACATAGCAGGAGGTCATGCACAGGTCCTGCCTCCCAGGGGGTTGCTTTCAGCTCCAGAGAGAGGACCATGATTTCTGTACAAAAACAATGCTGAATGCTCTAAAGCTCTCTTCAATGTGGGCTTATCATTTTCTTCTGTATAGTTTTCTTTTTAAAATGCCAAAAGAGCCTTGTCTGGTTTGGCTCAGTGGATAGAGCATCAGCCTTTGGACCAAAGGGTCCTGGTTTTAATTCCAGTCAAGGGCACGTGCCAGTGTTGCAGGCTCGATCCTCAGGGTGAGGTGAGCAGGAGGCAGCTGATCAATGATTCTCTCTTATCAATGATGTTTCTATCTCTATACCTCTCCCTTCCTCTCTGAAATCAATAAAATTATTTTTTTAAATGCCGAAAGAAGTGTGATTATTAACTTATTTTTAAAACTTACATGAGTAATGCTCACTTTGCAAATCCTGACTTTGATTTCAAGTTCTGCTTTCCTTGTTTTTATTCTTAGGTTTGAAACAATAAATGTTTTTACACTCCTTTATCTCATCCTCCTTCCTATTTGTGCCCCTCTGCCCATAACATTTTGGAGGAAGGGAATCAATCACCTTTACACCATCGAGTCAGGCTTTGAAAGCAGTGTCTGTCCTAAGATTGCCCTCTGTGCTCACAACCATTTTGAAGCGAGATGACCAAGTTTGTACAGCGCCTAGAACAATATTTCCGCGTGATGCTTCGGGTTGGGATTGGGTGTGCCCTGAAAGTGGGAGAGCTGGTCAAAGGGAATATTCAAGGTGTACCCAGAGTGTTCCTTGTTAATGCGGTGTTTCACAATTTCTGGAAACCTCTACCATTGAGTCATGAAATTTGAAGTTAAACTGGTGACTGCAGAACAGAAAAGATTAAGAAGGAGATTGACAGAATGCTTCATCTTGGCCAGAGTAATTCTGCTGTCCCCACATTCAGAAATGGATATGTGAAATCCAGGCACAGTGCAGGTGAGAGTGTGACCCCATGAGCTGGCACCTAACAGGCCAGATAAGCTCCTGCCGAGTGAGTGGCAGGAGCCCTGGGCTTGAGCTTGCAGAAGCCCTCAGCTGGGACAGCTCCAGGTGCACCACTTACTAGAGCTGGGATGGGCATGGGTTGGGGCAGGAAACAGGCTTCCAGGGAGCAGCAAGTTGGTGGTCTGGGGAGGAGACAAGAACCAGGGACAGGTCTGCCAGCGGAGGTGCCCGCCTATTTTATGTAATGGCTGGGGTGGAGCATTGAAGCCCACTCCCAGAGACCTTGTTACAAACAGACCTAAATGCAGATTTAGACACGTTTATTGAGTGCTTTCTCCTTGCCAAGGGGAAGCAGAAATGTTTAGTGCTGCACTTTTTCTCCTGGAAAGGACACCCTGGAGTTTTTGGCAGCCTGGGCAGCGGGGTGGGGGACTCAGGATTCAGGATGCTGCCTGGGAAAAGTCCGCGACAGACAGTGGCCGCAGCCTGACAAACTGTCCGAGGCCCAGGACTCTATGCAGGCTCAGGGTCTCACTTGTGGAGAGCCTCTCAAGTCGTGGTGATGTGGGGGGGAGGGAGGGGAGGGGAGGAATCTAACAGAGGCAAATGGGGGAGGGGACAGAGAGCAACTGGGGGTCTAGATTTGGGACACTGAGCTGCCGCCCAGAGAAGCCGGGGAGGGTTTTGTTTGGTTTGAAGATGGGTTGGCCGAGGAGACAGGAGTCTAGACCCGGGAGTTAGAATTTGCGCGGATTCTGTTTAAGAGGAGAGCTGATCTGGGGGGAAGCGGGGGTGGAGTGCAAAAAAAAGGCGGAAAGGGTGTCTGGGTGCTGCGGTGGAGCATGCACTGACCAGGGAACGGCCAGCGCACGCCCCCTTCCCCAGTGCTCCAGCGGACACCCTCATCCGCCCCAGGACTTGCTGGGCAGGGGATCCAGCCGCGGGGCCTCCCCTCCCTGCGGGTGGCCTCTCCCCCGCGTCCCCTCCCCCGCTGAGCCGGCGGCAGTGGAGCCGCGACAGGAGCGCAGGGCACAGGCTGTGGCGCGCTGGCCATGGCGCGGGCTGCGGGCGCGCGGGGCCGGCTGGGGCGGTGCGGGCGGCGCTGGAGGTGCGGGCGGCGCGCGCTGGCTGCCTGCGTGGCCTGGACCGCGGTCTGGGTGCTGGCGGCCGCGCTGCTGCTCCGCGCGCACCCCGGGGTCCTCTCGGAGCGCTGCACGGACGAGAAGAGCCGGCGCATCCTGGCCGCGCTGGTAGGTCCCGCCGCCGCACTGTCCCGCGAGGTGCGCCAGGGTAAAGGGGTGGGACCCGGGCCGTGGGATGCAGGATGTGCAGGTCCCGGTCTCCGTGGGATGGGCACTGTGCCCCCGAGCCCTCCGGGCGCTCAGGGGTGCTTCTCCCCACATCGCCCAAATTGGTCCTTTGTCCCAAGAGTCTTCCTGCTGGACGGCTCTCCCGCCGCCCCCCCCCCCGCCCCCCCGAGCCCACGCTCCTAAAGAAAGTTTGCTTGCGGTGGGTTTTGAGTCTCTCCGCAACCCTTGGTGGCCCATCCCATGTGGGGCCGCAGGGTTAGGGGCCAGGATGCGGACCAAGATGCCTCTCAGGTCCCTGGGTCCCTGTTTTCTGACCCAGACTCCGTTCTGTGATTCCAACCTGGGCTTCTCCACGCCGAGCCCGGTGCGCTAACGGGGCCCTGCCTCCTGCGCCCCAAGCCTCATGCATCCGTGGAACCCCAGGCACAGCGAGCTTCCGGGAGGCTGTGCGACCCCCGGGGACCCTAGTCCAGGGGTGGTGGCTGCAATCTCCGTCCCTCCACGGGAGGGCCGGATTGTTCCTCAGCTGGGCGGGGCGGGAAGCGGAGACCGAACCGCAGGGTTCTGTCTGCGCGCACTTGGTCCCAGATGCTCATCAGTTGCTTCCCAGAGGCTGGCTGCTCCTTAGTCTCAGTTTGGTTCACAAGATGACGTGCTTTAGGAGATTTGAACAAAGGTAGAAATACCTCCAAAGGAAAGCCAAGAAAGATGAAGATAGCAGCTACTCTTGTTACACTGATTTTTGAAGTGTTTATTCACTTCTCCAAACAGTAAGCATCTAAGCATTTGGTGTGAAAAGTGATGTTTTCTAAGAAATGTTAATGAAACACATGGGAAGTTTTTAGTTCAATTGCTTACACATTTGCGATTGTAGGTGGTTTTCATTTTATATTTTTTATTGATTTCAGAGAGAAAGGGAGGAAAAAGAGAGAGAAACATCAATGATGAGAGAGAATCAAGAGAATCATTGATCAGCTGCCTTGAGCAGGACCCCTACTAGGGATTAAGTCTGCAACTCAGGCATGTGCCCTTGATCAGAATCAAACCTGGAACCCTTCAGTCCCCAGGCCAACACTGAGCCAAACAGGCTAGGGCTGAGATTGTAGGTTTTCAAAACGGGGTAGCATAAAGGTTTCCTAGTAAATGATTTTTTTAAATATAAAAAGTGAGATTGGAAAAATTTAAGGAATAATGAGTGAAAGGTACAAGCTAAAACAAATCATATTCTCTGAGTCTGACATGTGTCATCATGAATGGACCATAATGCAAATGAGACACTCATCATTGACTCCCTCCATCCTATCTATCACCTATCCATGCATCCACACATCCATGCATCTACCATCCACCCACTGACAGTTACACTGAAGTTCCATCAAGTTTTGTTTAAGTTACATGAGCTCATTGATTTTCTCAGGAATCCGTATAAAAACTCCTTTCTTTTTTTTTCTTTTTTTTTTTTGGGGGGGGGGGGGCTGATTGACAGTTTATAGTGAACAAAGATTAATATTATAGTTTGACCAAGATGGAACACTTCTGTTTACAAAAACAATAGAAACTAATCTTTTAAATTAAAGTAAAAGATGGATTCCACTTTCCATTTATCTACCTTTGACTAAGTGGGAAAGGCCAAGTGGAAATGAATAGCCTAATATAAATTAAGTAATTGTTAATCATAACTTTCCAAGTGTTTCAGCCCATAAATTAAAGCCAATTCTGATGAGTGGTTCTACTACTATATCTCCAATGGCAGCCCTCCGGGGTCATTTTTAGTCTGACCTAAAGCCCAAGAGGTCCGTCCTGCTTCTGGTGGCTCTCTCCTTTCTTGTTACTAAAAGAATGATTTGAAATACCAGGCCCCTCTTGCTAAAGTTCACCTGCTGTTGTCTCCCTGAACTGACTTTTCTGGGAGCATCATTTGCACGCCACGTGAGCAGGACTCGGCTTTCTCTCCCTTTCTTCCTACCTTCTCCATTCTGACTTGTTGATGTGAACCCCACGCAGCACGCTGGCTCTCTTTTATCCAGGACACTAACCTAGCACAAGCTTTGAATAAGACCCAGTCTGCAAACATCACTTGCTGGGCCCTCACTGCCCCGCAGAGGCTGGCACTGTGGCCTCCCAGGACTGGAGCTGAATCGAGTGTCTGTCTCTGAGCTCCCCAAGCACTTTCAATTCATTCTGCCTGGCTTTTATCCTTAGTAATGAAACAGGCTGTTAGTTTTCTGACTGGCCTCCAGACTCTCATTAGCTTTCCCTCTGAATACCAGCGCATAGAAGGAGTAACTGAACTGAGCCAAAGAGAGCCCTCTCTCTCTCTCTCTGGCAGGGGCAGCATTGTTGTGGGCAAGGCCTAGGGCATTCCCAGGCCCCCATGCACAGGGGCATTGTGGCCTGCGGGGGGAGTCTAGCTGAAGCTGAGGAGCCAGGAGCCAGGTGCCAGGTCTGCTACTAGCCCCAAGCTGCCCACCTCCTGAGGGAGCCCACCGCACTCCTCAGCCCTGGAAGAGCCAACTGGCCTTGTTCCAAAGAGTCGAGCACTGGGTCTGAGAGCTTTGGATTTCCCTAGTCAGACTGCGGTGCTCCTCTGTACTGCGGCTTTTCAGCTCATCCCATAATCAAGACACCCGCATGCCCTCTTAGACTGCCCTGGGAGGTTGCTACAGCCCTACTGTAGCAGAGAACAGTGCCAGGAGGCGATGCAGGCTGAGGAGCCTCAGGCCATGCTTGGTAGTTCTTGCGCCAGGCTTCTATTCTGCAGGCAGAGTTCTTTGTGCAGCGGCAGAGAGGGCTGGGCTGCAGGGGCCTGTCTGCTTCTCAGGGTAGGCACTGTGATGAGTAGTTTTACTTGTATCCTTTCACTTACTCCCATCTACAACCTCCGGGAGATGGTGGCAGATGGTGGAACTGAGCCCCAGAGAGGTCAGCCTGTCCTGATTTGTGCAGTTAGTGTGTGTGGAGCCAGGGTGAACCATGTGCAGTCTGATAAGAGAGACCCTGTGATGGCGAGTGGCTTCTTCAGTAATAAGAACCATCAGTAACAACTGGGGATACTTAACCCTCCACAGCATATCGCTTTCAAAGCATCTCACAACTATTCCCACCGCTGTTCTTCAGAGGCTCCGTTCCTTTTTGGCTAGTTAGGCTTGATGTGATTTAACTTAGTTGCCTACCTTCGGGGTTCCTGTTTAATAGGACAGGCTTGTCTTTTTTGCTGTGATGGAAACCGAGGGCCCTAGCGCACACCCGGGCGCATGCCCAGAAAGACTTTATAGCAGAGAATAGCTCTATTCTCCTGAGTGTTCATCCAGGGTCAGGGAGGCTGCCCAGCGGACTGGTCAGTTGCTCTGAGAGTCTGCAGTGCACAGCGTCACTGCCGGGGAAGATTGCTAGTTCTGTGACGATTACTAACCACATAGGAACCCAACACTCCTTAAAAACAAAACCAAACACACAGAAAACCCAGATCTCAGGCATGACCCCCGAGACCTGACAACCATTTCCCAAAGTGGAACGGACAGGCTTTGCTTTTGCCTGAGAAGCATAATACAAGCCGGAGAGATTCTAAGCCACAACCACTGAGAACTCTTCCTGCAGAGCTGGGCTTGCTGAAAATGTGTGTTTGCATATTCCCACACAACCTATGGGAAATGCAAACGCATGGTGAGTCCAACTAATTAGATAATGGCACTTAACTACAATGAGACTTTTTTTACAGTGTATTCCTGTGGGTTTTGGGTGCACACACATTTGGGTCCAGAGATGTACTTTGGGTCTTCAAACTGGCAGTTTGGATCTGCTCATAGTAAGAGAAAACTGATTTTTAAAATGGAGTTAAAAGAAATAAAAGCACTTTTTTTTTTTTTTTTTTTTTTTTAGTTAAAAAGAGCTGCTTCACCCTGGCCAGTGTGGCTCAGTGGTTGAGTGTCATCCCTTGCACTGAAAATTTGAGGGGTTAATTCCTGGTTAGGGCACATGCCCAGGTTGCAGGCTTTATCCCTAGAGGGAGGAGAGGGGCATGCAGGAGGCAACCTGGTTGATGATTCTTGTTCATCAATGTTTCTTTCTCAACCTCTCCCTTCCTCTTTATCTCAAAATAGAAAAAAAACCACAAAAACACCCTTTTTTGAAGAAAAAAAAAAGAACAACTTCAATAGGACCTGCTGCTAAATAAAATACTTTAATGATTGTCTCTAACATGATGACAATTATTCATTAGTTAGTAACCTCATAATTTGTACTTGGAGTTTGCTGTTTTTTAAATGCTAGATTAAGTTCTTCTCTGCGTTTAGTATGCATAGATATGCGAAGACTCTGCAGACGCACTCTGGCACTGTGACCAGAATAGCTGCTGTGGCCAAAGTTTACATTCTACATAAGAGGCGTGGGAACCGAAATGCCCAAAATCCCCTATCCTAAAGGATGGTAGCAAAGAACAGTTGGGCGATAATTGCACTGTGTGTGCTTTGCTCTAATGTAAACGGTTTCCTAGGATAAATGAGGTCACAGACCTACGACCTCACCTGGGCATCTCAGTCCACTTCCTTGCCGATGCCTACCACCACATCCCTGATGCCTCAATGTGCTGATCTGCAGAAAACGGCCGACATTAATGTTCCCCTCCAAAATCGATAGGCCGCATGCCAAATTCAATGATTAGACTGTTGTTCCAAATATCTTGCGACTCCTGTTTGGAATTGCCTTTTAAATTTGCAGGGGCAAATCTTGGATAGGTTTCAATTCAATTTGAATTTGATTTCATCAGTGCAGTACAGTTTTGCAGGGAAGGCTGAGCTGTTCAGAGCCTGTAGGAGGGGGGATGGCGCTCTCTTTAGAGAGAGCCCTGGGCAGAGAGCATCCCCACCAGCAGGCAGGGCTGCCTCAGGGGAAGGTTGATCTGACCCTTGCAGGGTAGGAAGCATTTATGCCAGGTGGAGATGCAGGAATGACTTTATTTTTATTTTTATTTTTTTTACAGTTTTGAAATTGATTTTTTTTAGAGAGAGAAGAAGGGGGGAAAGAGAGAGAAACATTTATGGGAGAGCAAAACATCTATTGGCTGCATCCTGCACGGCACCCAACAGGGATCAAGCTGAAAATCGAGCGTACGTTCCAACTGGGAATGGAATGGCAGCCCCTCAGTGCTCAGGCTGATGCCCAACCAACGTAGCCACACCGGCCAGGGCAGGAATGGCACTTTTGATAGGATACCCCAGTCTGTCACACAGTGGCCCACGCTCTGCCCTGCTCTCCACATTCTGAAGTGGTCTCGTTCTCTGAACATCCCATGCTACTTTGCAACTCCAGGTCTTTGCACAGGCTATTTCCTGCCATGAAACTGCCCTCCCACTCCTTGTCTGCTAAGCAGACCTGCAATTTGTCTTTCAAAAGTGAGCTCAGATGCATGTCTCCAGGAAGAAGCCTCTTTGGCTCCCGACTTCTAATGACCAGGGCTGGATAAAACTAGCATTCCCTGAGATAACCTCGTCCAAGCTCATGACCTTGGTTGACCTCCACAAGCCTCCTGTAACACAGTATTATCATCCTCTATTACAGATTTGAAAACATGCCACACCTTATGAGGGGCAGAGCCCAGGGACAAACCCAGTTTTCCCAAACCACATGTCTCAAAATTACCCTGCCCATGTCATACTCTGCTACCGTTGGTGAGTTTCAAAGGCAGCCACCACTGTTCTGTGAACTCTGGAGCCTGGTACTGTAGTTGGATGGAGACTCAGCTCTCGTACAGTTGGACTGAGTTCGGAAAGTGGCATTGCTAACTGGAAGCTGGCCATGTGTGCCTGAGGCAGGTGGGCCTTGTCTGTGGCGATTGCTCTAGCAAGTTCTGGCTGGACTGTCTTCTTAGAGATGACTGCAGTGTGGTAGTGGTGGGGTCACCACAGCTGGACGATGGGAGACCAACTTCTGGGCTCTGGGTGTTTTGATTTTGAGAACCTAGCCCTGGGCTTGATTGATTAACATAAATATGAGGCACTTGGAAGTCTTTTATTTTATTACTAGAGGCTCGGTGCATGAAATTCATGCGGGGGGGGTGTCCCTCAACCCAGCCTGCACCCTCTCCAATCTCAGACATCCCTCTCACAATCCAAGACTGCTGGCTTCCAACTGCTCGCCTGCCTGCCTTCCTGATTAACCCTAACCGCTTCTGTCTGCCAGCCTGATCACCCCCTAATCACTCCCCTTCCAGCCTGATTGATTCCTAACTGCTCCCCTGCCAGCCTGATTGCCCCTCCCCCATTCCCCCCTTGCAAGTGTGTTCACTTCTAACTGTCCTCCCCTGCAGTCCTGGTCCCTCCCAAATGCTCTCCCCTGCAGGCCTGGTCTCCCCCCAACTGCCCTTCCTTGTAGGTCTGGGCACCCCCAACTTCCCTCCTCTTTTAGCCTGGTCACCCTTAACTGCTCTTCCCTGCAGGCTTGATCACCCCCAACTGCCCTCCCTTGCAGGCCTGGTCCCCCCCAACTGCTCTCCCCTCCTGGCCATCTTGTGGTGGCCATCTTGTGTCCACATGGGGGAGCCATCTTGTGTGTTGGAGTGATGGTCAATTTGCATATTATTCTTTTATTAGATAGGATGCACTGACTTCCCAGAGACCCTACAGGGCTCATGAGGTTCCCCTCAAGGGCTGATGAGAAGCACTCCAAGCACAGGGACCAACTTGGGCCCTTTTCCTGCCTCCTTCCACCATCACTATCTTGTGACCTGCTGTCCCCTCTCTCCAGTGCCGGGATTACCAAGGCGGGGCGCTGGCAGGTGACCTCTGCGAGGACCTGTGTGTGGCGGGGAGGCTGCGGTACCGGCGCTGCCTGTACTACGAGAGGGGCAAGAAGGTGCTGCAGGCAGACTGGCACGGCCGCCCCATCATCCTCAAGTCCAAGGAGGAAGCCTTCTCCAGCTTCCGGCCACCTGGCCTGATGGAGGACCAGGCTGAGGACGAGGGCCAGGGCTTCCCAGAGGCAGAGCTGCTCCTACTGGTGGCAGGGGAGGTCAAGAGCGCCCTGGGCCTGGAGCTGGCGGCTGGCAGCCTGGGGCCGCTGTGGCCTGGGTACCGGGGCGCGCACTGGCAGGGCCAGCTGGCCAGCTTGTGGTCGCTGGTGCAGCAGGAGGAGTTTGTGCTGCTCAGCATGCTGCACGGCCTCAGCCCGCACGCCCCGCCGCTGCTAGGGTCCTGCGGCCACTTCTACGCTGTGGAGTACCTGGCAGCAGGCAGCCCCCACCACAGGGCTCTCTTCCCCATGGATGGGGCCTTGCGGAGCCAGGCCCAGGCCATCGGCGACATGGCCCTCAGCTTCCTGGACCTGGTGAGACATTTCGACAACGACTTCTCCCACCGCCTCCACCTCTGCGATGTCAAGCCTGAGAACTTTGCCATCAGGAGGGACTTCACGGTGAGTGCTCCTTGGGAGTGGACACCTCACTTGGGGGACAGATGGTTTTAAATGAGAGCGTTTCTGAAATCCCGAGGCACACAGTAGCATCATGCTGCCTTATAGCCTGGACAGCCCACCCAGCCCAAGCTGAGTTCATGAGAATTAAAAGGACATATACACCTCGCCCCACTCCAGAGGGGTGGGTGGAATGAAAGGCTGGACAGCAGGAGCCCAGGCCCCAGGGGCAAGGCGTGTCCTCCCTGGGGCTGTTCTGGAAGGCAATCCCTTGTTGAGAGCAGAAAGCAGTCTTCAGGGATGAGGGGCCACACTGGATGATGAGGAGGATGGCCTTTGGGGTTTTTGGACAATGATGCTGTCTTCAAACTGTCCAGGCTCCATGACAGTGTGCAACATTTTTCTAGCACTTTCTCCCTAGAGGTTCTAGCTAGCTTCCCTTCCATGGGTAAGGTTTCTAGAGGGACTCGAGTGGGGCGCCTCTGCAGGGACAACCCTGCCCAGATGGACATGGTGGCCTCCGCACTGCTTTGCAGGGCAGGTCCATTTTGCTCCCTCTCCGGGGAATTGAATGAGGAGAAGCTGCAGTGGCAGGAGAGACTGCAGTGTCATTGGAAGATAATCCTCCTCACCTTCTCCTGTTCCCTAGGTAAACCCAGGTGTCACAATAGTGCTATCTGATCTGGATGCTCTATCCCAGGGGCCATTGCCTATTGCAATGTCATCTCTGACACTGCAAGAGCCAGCAGGTGAAGGGCCAGGCCAGCTTCACTCCGGCCATCTCAGTGGGCTGGGCATGGTGGAGGCTGGCTCATGGTAGTCTATGCTCTTGTCAACATAAGAAATGTTCAAACCTATAGAGAATTTTTTTGAGTTTATTGGGCCAAACTGATGACAAAACCTCAATAGTTAGAGATTATATTCCAGTGAATGACAGTTTTGCATCTTTTAAAATACATTACAAGATAAAAAGAAGATGTATGTGGGTTACATGAAATACATTGGTGATAGATCAGGGAGGTGGGAGAAAGCCAAGTGGAGAAACCTCTGGGATTGGGTAAAAGTGAAATGATAGACACTTCTGTCACTTAGGTGGGTGCAGGATAGTTAACAGACAATAATTAACTCAATGACAATGAGGGGATGTGTGGTCTCGGCAGAGCAGTGCCTGTGCTTTAAGGAGTCCAGAAAAAGGAAATTATATGCATATGCACATAACCATGAACACCGACAATAGTGTGGTGAAGGCCTGGGGAAGGAGTAGGGAAGAGGGGACAGATGGGGGATGGGGGGGGAGAAGAGGAACATCTGTAATACTTTCAACAGTAAAGATACATTTTTTTTTTTTTAAAAAGGAAAATTACTTTGACATTCCAAAGATATGTTATCTGAGATGCAAAAAGATAATGGGCTCAATTGAGTAAAGATTGAATTTTATTAGGGAAAAATACTGCCTTTGGACATGACTACCTGCCATGAACTGCTTTTAGTTTAAAATTTTTTATTTCAGAGCACCCTATGTGGTTACTTTAGGTGCCTGAGTTTGTAAGGCCACCCACCACAGAGGCCTCTCCTGAGCTTGTCAGTTTAGTATATGGTTCTTCTTATCCACCCCAGTCAAAACATAAGGGACAAAAATAGAAGGTATAACAGCCTGGAATCGATATAGAGCCTTTCTCCTGCCAAGTCTTTGTCACTGTGGCATCATAGCATTTTGCTCCCACTTCTTTGTCCTAATGCTCTGTCCCTGGCTGTCCCAGAGGGGCTGATAAGCCGGGTGTTCCAAGTGTGGGAGGGAAAGAGCTGGGTCGAAGGGTTCCTTGAGGTTCCAGAGAGTTCTGAGAAGTCCCAGAAGGAGACCCGCCAGACGAGCTGTGAAAGTCAGGATGCCCCTGACTCACCGGCTTATTTCTCAGAGCTGAGGTCCTGGCCGAGGCTTCCTTACTTTGTGAGCAGGAAAGTTATAAAAAAACAAAACCAAACAGAGGGCAGCGGCTCTCCTCAGAGCCATTCTGGGGACCCAGCCACCCTGAGGCCTTGGGCAAGGAGGCATGGAGCGTTCACATACAACCACCAGCTTTGGGCAGTTAGGGGTCCGTCCTTCCTGTTACGAGATGATTTGTTTATTCATCCACCAAGTATGAGAGCGTGTCAGTGAGTGGTGGCAGTCAAGGGAACCCAGTGGCTGTCTGGGCTGGGTTCCCAGGAAAGGCTTCAGAAGGAGGTGGCGCTGATGGGTCCTCCCTAAGGAGTGAGCAACATGGGGCATTACTGGCTTGCAAGGTCCACCTCCATTGTGCCTTCCAGCGTCTTCTGCATCATAGGCCTAAGAGAGTTGTTCAATGAAGTCCTGGCTGCTCACCTGACCAGGCTGGACTTTCTGTGCTTGAAGCACTTGGCCCTGAAGCATGCAGCCTTGGCTGCTGTCAGAGTGAGGGTGAGGATGGAGAGGGAAGGACCTGATTCCACTGTGCTGACCCTGGCATTACTGACCTTCCTCACGAGACTGAAGTTCAAGAAGTTCAATTTACCTATGATTTTAAGTAAAAACCAGCCTTGTCCACATCACCAGAGAACAGGTTAGAAATGCAAGTTCTCTGCCTTAACCCAAGATCTCCTAGGATGGATGCAGCTGTCTGAGTTTGAGAAACAAGCTAGGGGACCAGCAGGCAGATCCTCCCTTCAGGCCATGTTGCAGTTGCTCAGATGGTGGGAAGAATTGACGACTCAAAGTCATTCACTCCCTCCAGGTCCTCACTTACCGGTCCTGACGATTTGTCCTGGGATTGCCCAACGACAAGTAGGGCACAGCATTGCTTCCTGCTCCCAGACTGCTGCCAGCAAGGGCTCCTTTCAAGCAGGTGATATGTTTCCTCCCCCAGAGCCACGCTTCCCAGTGGAGAATGAAATGCTTCTCATCGGGCCTTTCTGGGCTGGCGCAGGATGAAGTTTGAAGGGGGCATGAGTTAGGTCACTCCACACAGGAAAAATTTTAAGATTCTCCTGATACAATTTGAGAAACCTCCTGCAGGTCTTCTGATTTGTTTGGTCACTGTTCCTATTTTTGGTATTTATAGTTATGCTCACAATGGCTGTAATCCATCCTATGCCATGCACAAAAATTAAAAGATAAATCTGATTCTCCTAGGAGTTGAGAAGGGAACCATCAGTAATGGTAAAGAGAGAAATTGCAAGGAGCTGAAATTCCATCTGGGGCCCCAGAAGAAGCTGGGGGATTGCCAGAAGCTGTAGAAGAAAGAGAAGGGTCTTATAGCCCCAATAATACACCAGAAAGGCTGCAGATCATTAGCATAGCCTAATACTTTTTCAGTCTATTAACCAGTGCAAATAATGAAGTGAGCTATTTCTTTTGGCTAAATAATGAGACAGGAAAAACTGATTAAAATGATAATTTCTGTTTGCTGAGCCTGAATTAGTAATTAGGCAAAGCTCTTAACAAGGAAAAAGTTCCCTGTTCTTTTTTTAAATTATTATTGTTCTCCCCATATTTTGCAATAAATTATTTTCCCTCCTCAAGAAATACTCCCCAAGAAGCTTTATTGCCATCGGCATCAACCCTGAATGAGAAACAAAAGCAAATGAACAAAAGGAAGGGGTGATGTTTTGACGTTGACCTGTGAAGGCTTGTGAAATGCCACAGACTCCCTCAAATTCATCAAGTCTTATAAGCTGTTTAATACCTTGAAGCTATAAACTGCTCGATTTGGGCCAACTCCAGGTTTTCACAGGTTTGAGCTCATTTTTTTTTTTTTTTTAATTCAGGTGGTGGAGGAAATCTGCATAATTTAGATATTATTCTTGTTTTGAAGCCTCTTTGGGTTGAAGCCAAGAAGATAAATCTTAGATTCCAGAGGTCACAGTTCTTATGCTGACAGTGGGATGTAGCATATGATGATATTGGATCGAACTCCACACATATCAACCCTAATCTGAGAACTTTGGCGCTATCATTTCCCCCCACATGCCTATCCAAATAGTCAATTGCAGTTGACTCAGGTAACAGCGATGCCGTGGATAGACAACCTAGATACAGCTGGCCTCGTTTTCATCTTCACACCCACAGACCTTCCTCTTGAACGTAGTTTCCTTTTATTGCTTATATTCAAGGGGATGGATGGCCTGTCTCTCACTGCTTTGTAATCTTGACCCTTGAAGGCCAGAGACCAAAGTAGTAGAGTAAGGAGGGGGAGTCAATTTATTTTTAAGACATTTTGAAGATGTTACTTTTATTTTTTTTATTTTATTTATTTTTTTTATTTATTTATTTTTTTTTGTATACAGATGCAAAGCTTTAATTTCCCACTAAATCATCACTTTCTTAAAATGGTACATGTGATGTTATGAAATTAGCTATTAAGCATTCGAAATAGTGGAAAAGAGGTCCTTTCTTCAGTCTTTTTTTTTTTTTAATATATATATATAATTTTTGATTTTTTTTCCCCCCTTCTCTCCCTCCCTCACATCCCTTCCCTCCCCAGAGTTTTATGTCCATTGGTTGTACTTATGTGCATGTATAAAAGTCCTTCGGTTGATCTATTAGCTCCCCCAGATCTTCCTCCCCTCCCCGCTGTAATTTGACAGTCTGCTCGTTGATATACTGTCTCTATATCTATCTTTTGGTTCATCAGTTTATAATGTTCTTTATTATCCACAAATGAGTGAGGTCATGTGGTGTTTTTCTTTCAATGACTGGCTTATTTCACTCAGCATGATGTTCTCCATTTCCATCCAAGTTGCTGCAAATGATGAGAATTCCTTCTTTTTTATGGCAGCATAGTATTCCATTGTGTAGATGTACCAAAGTTTTTTGATCCAATCATCTGCTGATGGGCACCTAGGCTGTTTCCAAATTCTAGCTATTGTAGATTGTGCTGCTATGAACATAGGGGTGCATATATCCTTTCTGATTGGTGTTTCTAGTTTCTTGGGATATATTCCTAGGAGTGGGATTACTGGGTCAAATGGGAGTTCCATTTTCAGTT